GAGTGGAATGAGAGAAATGAGAGTAAAGGCTGAAATCTGTGTTTTAAAACACAGCAAATTCTATTGTTCATGGATTGAAAAATCAATTTTTTTTTTGAAATTATGATTTTGTCATTAAACATTCTAATTTGATCCATATGATTATCCTAAGGTTTTTCGACATTCCGAATTCATTTTAATGTTATTTTAACCTAAAAATATTTAGTTTTATGATTTATCTCAAAATTAAAGTTAATTTACACCCGAAACACTAAAATTACTATTTTACCCTCTCTCAACCGCTATATGAGCTAAATGTCTATTCCAAGTTTTTCGGAACTCCCGGGTTCAATGAAAATATTATTTTGACCCAAAAATATTAATATATTTACTTAGCTATCCTTATCAACATTAAACACCTCCAAAAATTAAATTTGACACAAAAGTCAATACGTTCGCACTTCAAGCTTACACGACTATTCTTTAATAACAATTCAAAGTTTCTCTCATCATTTTAATTATTTTAAAAATACTAACAAATTAATATCATTTATATTTATATAACACACGAGATCTCACAGCTTTCACTCGTGCAAACAAACTCTTCATTATACGTTATAACAATCCCCGGGGAGGAATCACAATCCCAGCAAAAGAAATCAGACATTACTNAGATCTCACAGCTTTCACTCGTGCAAACAAACTCTTCATTATACGTTATAACAATCCCCGGGGAGGAATCACAATCCCAGCAAAAGAAATCAGACATTACTCATTAACTCATGAACTCAGTAACTCAAACCACTAATAAAATTATATTAGGACAAAAAAAATTTTTATTTTTATTTTACCCTTATAAATGATTGCAAAGGTCACTCAATTCTTTCACAATTAAATATTTAAATTATTATCATATCTTTATATCTTTAAATCTCTAAATTATTTATAACATCTTTTTTCAATTATTTAATCAGTTTCTATAAAAAATTTGAATGATTATATTACCCTTAAAATATATATATATATATATATATATATATATATGTGTGTGTGTGTGTGTATATATCATTATATTTTCAATAAGGTGTTCAAAGAACTTCAAAAATTTTATCAATCTAATATTGCACATCTCGTATGTAAATATAATAATATGCCTACACGTGTATATTTTTTTTATCGAAAAGTTTAACTCTTTCATTTTTAAAATAAAAAAATCATATATATAGTCTTTTAAAATCAATTTTTCTTGCATTAGTATAATTCTTTAGTCACAATAAACTGTCTAAGTTGTACCAAGATGTTATTTAAAAATAGATATTGTAATATATTTTTAAGTAAAACTTGATTTTTTTTTTTAAAATTTTAATATGCTTGATAATATATATCGTAGAGTAGTATATTAAATCTTATCCTAATTGACCTAACTAATTCTTAATTACAGTAAAGTTCCAATGTGATTAGTATCTTGACAATTACTTTTATTTTATTCAAGAAATTATAAATGTAATCCTAATCAAATGAATTTTAAAAAATTTAATTTCTCAAACATCACTAAAAAAACATTCTCAATCACAAAATTCTAAAAAAAAAAATAGAACTTTAACTATTTGTTATTATCTTTTNATTTCTCAAACATCACTAAAAAAACATTCTCAATCACAAAATTCTAAAAAAAAAATAGAACTTTAACTATTTGTTATTATCTTTTTTTTTTCATAGTTAGAAAAAAAAAAATTTAGAAGTATACAAAGTTTTCATAATCGTATAATAGAATATGAACAACGAAAAATTAAGATTGGTAAATTTAAGATAATATTTAATTCAGTTATACATATACTTAATATATTTTATTAATTTTTGTGTATGAAAATAATTTACGTGCAACGCATGTTGTGCATCGGTAGTGACTTTAAATAGCTTCAACACATAATATAAAAGACNTTTCCAGATATGAGGAAAGCATTATTTCGGGATGTGGAAAAGAAGTCTGTTGTCCCTCTTAAGCGGCCAATTACTCCGAATGAATTGGAGTATGATTAAGGCTGATTTAAGTTGAATGTTCTCTTANTTGAGCTCAAGCTCAACCACTCATAACCAACTCAAATTTAAACATATTCAATAAGCTTTGATTGTACTCTAATAATGTGTGGTGTTGAATATATAACTGTCCATAAAGTCCACTTATTCTAGTGGGAAGCCAATATTGAAGCAAGTATCCAAGTTAAATACCTTTAAATAGCTACTATACCTATATTTATATTTATACTACTTATAAATATTAGCATCTATAAAAAAGAAAATTGATCTCCTAATTTATCCTTAATTATTATAAAATCAATTCTATCCTCATATTTACTTTCATACAATTTTTATTTTCTAAACCTATTTAACTTCTAAGATTTTTTGAACTCTTTTATTTGTAGTATTTGACTTTTAAATTCTTGTGGATGTAGTTTGTAGATTGGATTCTATTATCCAATATATGTCACATTTGATTTTTTTTTTCATAAACAATAATATCATAATAATATGATATAATTTAATCAATCTCTTTGATACAAAAAGTGTAAATACTTACAAAAGGACAATTTTACAATGAAATTTCACTATAAACAAAAAAAGAAATATTTAAAAAAGCTAGAGAGATACCTAAAAAAATGATAAATTAAGTACTTTAAGAGGGATAGAATAGATCAATAATTATATTTAACAGTAATTAAAATAATATTTAATTATTCGACACATAATTTATGATTTAAATAAATTAAATTTTTAATTAAATTTGTTTATTTAAACATATTCACGAGCAACACACGTCGTAGATGCTATGCTACTATAATACAAAAAGCAGGCATATCCCAATACCATCTTGTGCATGCTGTGGAAACAATACAGGTCAGAAAGAGTTGATAATGCCCTAACCAACCTTTAATAAAGGCTTTGTTAACGACGAATTATTATTATTATTATTATTATTATTATTATTATTTACTATTTTTATAATTATTATATATAAGATAAGAGAAAAAAAACAAAAGTGAGGTGCCTGCCAAACCAATGGATGTGCCTACTAGTACTAGTAGAAAGCAACATCAGCGCGTTGAGTGTTTGTTTCTGATATTGATGGAAATGGAATTTCATAACCGATTCTCTTCTTTGATGCTTTCACGTTTCTTTTTTTGGGTAAATAATTTTTGTATCGATTTTATTTGGTGACAAAATGAATCATAATCATTGAATTGATAGTGTCATGTAGAACAAGATTAGTAATTTTTTATATTTTATTTTGTTTGATTACGTTATTAGAATTAGGATTTAATTAGCAATATTCTAGGATATATTTCAATTTTCTTAATTTATTAAACATGTTTTTTATTTATTTTTAATTACTTTCCTAAGACTGGGTTTAGAAATCTTAGGCTTTTGAATTTTCCCATAAATTGTCATCGTAAATGGCTATTCTTTGCGCAACAGAAAAGTTATTCCATTGTCACTTGAGTATCAAAAGACATAGTCATGCATGCAAATTACTCTTCTCTTACATGCGACAATAAATTTTGTACATCTGATCCTTTTAGATCCCACAATTGCTAGAAGCCCCGTGCTTTAGACCATTGTTTTTATTTGTCATATTGATTTGTTCAAACTTAGTTATATAGTGATTATTTATTTAAACTTCATTTATACTAATGGTACATCATACTTATATTCGCGATCCACCATTTACCTCTACAAAATTTGTAGTTAGAGCCTTCTGACGTATTTAAAATCTTGTCTTGTATCGTTGTTATCATGTTGTATCACCAAGAAATTATAAAATAACAAATAGGATTAATAAACCAAAAAGGAAAATAGAAAATACAAAGTAAAAGAGGAGAGCAGATTGCATGATGTGATGTGGAGCTCGTAGAAGGGATTTAACTCTTGCTATTGGAATCTGGATCTACCTAGATTCCAGAATTGATCTCAAAATAGAGTGATATATTCTTGCAAGCTTGGTCTGAAATTTAGATTATTCACATTAAGGGGTTGTTTGATTGCAATTTTAAATGGTAAATTACAAANTGAATAGTAAATATAAACAAATTGTTGCTCCACACAACAATGCACCATGATAATGTTCTTTATATTCATTTTAGCAGTCATAGAAATGCAGTCAGCATTTTAGAGAATACAAAAATTCCACAAACCATATTACTTATCTCTCTCTCTCTCTCTCCTTGTCCTGTGGGAAAAAAATTTGTGTAGAAACAATTCCCAATGAAAGATTCTATGTAAAAAATATCAATTGCACAGAAGAAAATGAGGCATAGTTGCCATTGTCCTCGACAGTGTCCCACTCTGCTCTTTGAAAATAGATTTTGTTGAACTTGTACCTGGATTTGTCATATGGCTGCACCAGGATTGAACTTGCATCAGGAGTACTGATTTGAGCTATGCTCTTCAAGCTGACCGGCGTCCCATAATACTCCACCTAGATAGATACAGAGAGAAAGAGAGAGAAAGATANGCTGACCGGCGTCCCATAATACTCCACCTAGATAGATACAGAGAGAAAGAGAGAGAGAGAGAGAGAGAGAGAGAGATTTGTATTTCAGTTATTCCTAATAAATTTGAGTGCCAAACAATTGAAACCTCTACTGATATACAAGAATGTGGCTATGCATGCTGCTTTTGTAAGTTGTATGAACCCAATTGGTACACCCACTTACCACTGGTGCACACACCAGCTCATGCATGCTGCACCTAGGCACAACGACATGGTGCCATGGTGGCGGCAATTATGCCTGTTAAGGACGGGTGCAACAGTGATTAAAAATTTTGATAGTGATGATACAAAAATATGGTGCCACTGGTGATCAGAAGAGTATGGACCATAATGCTAGATGCTGATGATACCAAGTTAATATACCTAAAAGGGCAGCATTGGCAATGGTGGTCCTACTGTTAGGGCTAATAATGAACATATCATGGTGGTTGTGGTGGCAGGCTAAGCTGGCTCCTATTTTGAGTGCCGGAGTGTCAGCATTATACACAAGCAAAAACAAAAGAACAACACTTAAGTAAACTGTATGTGGGTTCGTAAGCATACCTCAACTTTATCAAGCATTGAGGGAGTTGATCTCCCTGTCCTTATGGAATTAAAATTCGATCGAACAGTGTCAATAGTCTTTTCCATCTTTTCTTTCTGAAAACAACACCAAGGTAACTAGCTGCTTAGTGTGTTTAAACTTTAAACACCGCAGGGTCCAACCCCACTTCCCCCAAACCCCCAACATAGGTATACATATCCAACAAGAAACTTCAGATGTCTTAGAAAAATAACACACTAGCTAGCCACTCACCACGTTTTTTTCAATCAAAGACTTCTCAGCTTCTATTTCTTCAATAGTTGCACACCTCAAGACTCCTGTTCTGAAGAACAATCAACAAAAAAGACAAACTCAAACATACAGTTGAAAGCATGTCACATTATAACAGTCAATACAATTGCACAAACCAACAATAAAACATAAATTTAGGACTCAGAAAAAAGATTCCATGAACTAGCCTTTCATGGGATGATTGTTTCACAACAAGGAGCTTCGCCGCAAATTTTGTTGCGCCGACCTGAAGTTTCACATAATTCGAAGCCGACCTCCAACCAAACACATCCCCAGGAGTAGATATGAATCTTGCGCAACTGGGTCCTCCATAGTTAGAGTCTGCAAGATTTTCCCAACTATAAGTACTGTCTTCTATGCACAAAGCGAAGGAACTGAGTCATTAAATCAAAGACCACACAATCTTTAGGAAGAATTTATCATCAAGAAACACCCAAAATACATACAAAATATAAAAAGAGAAGGCAAAGTTCAAAAGACCTTGGAGTGAGAGGAGGGATTTGGGAGGGTTTGGCTTGTGGCTGGGTTGTTGATAGATGGACCTCAACGGGGTTGCAGGCGAGAACGAAATTGCCATTGTGGATAAAAGAGATTGATTGATATGTGTTTGATAAAATGAGAAGCCGAACCGTAGAGGGTAGAGCTTGGGATTGTGGATAAGTGTGAATTTGCAGGGCTATTTTTCTCTCTTTCGCACTTGCGCTCGACAACGGAGAGACAGTGGTTAAAGCTTTTTTTTACCACTTGTAATGAATATTTCCTAAAATACACTTAGAACCCTAAGATTTCAAAAATCTGAGGAAATTACACCGACATCTGCTTTCTAAAATACACTTCATACAATTAATGTTTTGAAAATCATAGAAAAGCCCTCTAGATTTTTGAGGTCAATTTACAATTAAATCCACTCTGTCAGTTTAGTTGATATAGAAACTCAACTCAATACTTTGCTCACCCATGAAACCAAATAATATATTCTCAATCGAATAACAATTATCCTGGTAGTCTTTTCAATTGTGACCTTAGTCAAATTAATTTTTATGGACGATAAAATATATATTTTTGCCAATTGGTATTTATGAATAATTATTAGTATCGACTCTAGTTGGAATGGGTTTTTTTGTCTCTGGCTCAGACTTATAGTGTCTTCGACTCTGCTCCAATTCCAATTGCACAGAGTCGAACTTGAGTTTTGGATTGGGGGCAAAATTGAGCCAATTTTTANAGAGTGTGATGAACAATGAAATTATCAGGAATACAATTTTTGAAAGCTTTGAGTTTGGTTTGAACATGGACCAATCTAAGGATATATTCCCTAACACTACTCACATTGTCATATTTCATACTCGTTAATTCATATATTAGGCTCCCAGTTTCAGTCTTATTGGATACCTTATATCTCTCTCCTACAATGGTAAAGAACTCCTTAGCATTCTTGGTTTCAGGCAAGCTACTCATAAAGTGTTTAGAGATAGATTTTTTTATGACAATCATACTCAATCGATTAAATTTCTCTTACTTTGCATAAAGTCATTTTTCTTCAAGGGAGCTCTCACTAGTAGGTTTATTTTCTTTCAAGGCAAAATCTATATCAACAATTTCCAGGGCAAACTCAATATCTTCCTTCCATCTCTTATAATTAGAACCAGTCAAAACTTCAATGTTGACATTATTATTATTTACAGCAAAAGAAATTGTTCAAAATAACAAAAATATAAACAGTTAGTAAAATTGGGCAATTAGTAAATAAAATATGATTTGAACTTAATAAGTTATATTTTATTAAGAGAGTCCAAATACATCACTACAAACTCTCGTTTGGGCAAAAAATGTAATATGTTATATGTTATATTTTTCATGAAACTAACCAATGAAAATACTCAAGTTTCAAAAAATTTATTCTCTTTGGGCAGATAAACATTTTAGACTATTGCACCTCTACTACACTATTTCATGACATCTCCAAATTACAATACACAACAACCTCATTTGGGCAGATAATTGTATATTATAATTTAGAGATCATCCTGTAACAAAAACATAAGAAAAATCTACAAATTTCAATGAATTGATCACTTTGGTGGCAACCATCCATCTTAACTCATAGAATTTTTCAAACCGGGATATTATAATAAATTGCTCATAATTAAATATCGTGTGATCAATCAATATGAGGTATGAACCAATATGTATCTTTTTAGATCACTCATCATCAATCGTTGCATTCAGGTCTCAATTCTATTTTTACTATTAAAAATAAGTAATTTAAATTCAAATCTACGAACATTTAATAAATAATATATAGATCATAAAAAAAAAATATCATCGTATAAATCATTAGGCACTAAATTAGAATTGTACAAACACCATCTATAAATTATAGTAATTCAATCAAAGTTACATCAAGATAAAAAAATAATTTGTATGAGTAAAGTCTACATATATTCATCAACATGACCCCATATTATTAATACGAATCATTTACAAGAAGAGAATATATATAAATCATAAAAATTTTAAAGCAATGCTACCTGAACTTAAAAAATATATTTAAAAACTAGACTTGATAATTATAACAATTGATTTCACTGTGGATCTCAATCAATGCTGGGACCCACTTTTTATTCAATGGTTGTGATTATCAAGTCTAATTTTTAAGTTCATGTAGCATTGCTCAAAATTTTAAAATATATATAAATTGTCTTTGATAANTTTTTAAGTTCATGTAACATTACTCAAAGTTTTAAAATATATATAAATTATCTTTGATGACAAGCATCTCAAATTTAATCTTAAAAAAAAACAGTAGTATTATGATGCCACCTTTCTCCTTTTTTCTTTTTTTTGAAGGTCATATATACACGTCATATGGATATATGATGTGATTGTCTTTTCTTGAGTTTGATGTAACCAATTCTCGATAATTATTTATCATCGACTATTTTATGGTAATTTTTATTCAATGCATCTTGAACGGTGACACAAAAAATTGAACACTAAGTTCGATAAAAATTAATAATTTAATTATACATAAATTTTATTGGGTTTCAAATTCATATACGATAAACTCTGATATCTCATGTAAAAAATTTTAATGATTCGTATATGAAATTTAAAACACTTAAATTACAAGATTTAAATTATATAGATTTGAAACATACCTATATAAATTATGATACTCGATTTCTGAATTTCACAAAGTCTTTCTTTTTTTTTTGAAAGCAGTAGGCGGCTCTTAATGAGATAAGTNGTAAAAAGAGTTATATATTAAACATTGAGCCTATTTTCGGTAATGACTTAATCGGAGATCATTTACGCACTTCATAAAGCAAAAAATTTCATGCAGAAGATTTGAGTAAAGTCCGACCCATATAAGATTCCGAAATGGCAGTTGGATGGCTTATGAATTTTAAGCTCTGATAGGCAATTATATATATGAATGGCTGCAAATTCAAAGTCAATAGACAGAAAAGTACTGAAGAATAAGAGGATAAATTTGAACACTAAAATAATACGTGATGACAGAGGTCTGTGCAGCATAAGCCAATGCTCTTGTACCAACATGCAGGATATACTGGAATAGAAAAAAAAAAGTTTACATGATGCTAGGTTTGTTTTTGGTAATTACATGGTGCCAAAGTCAAACAAGATAAACCATTACCTTCCTCCTCTCGGATGTCAGTTGAGGAAGTGACAATCGTATCACTTCACCATCATTATTTGGAGTCAAACCAAGATCAGAACTAACTAAAGCCTTCTCTATAATCTTTAAGCTGAAAACAGTTAAAAGTCAATGGATACTAGACAAAATTATTAGGTGCGTGTGTATGTGAGATCAGAAGGGAACACTTGTGAATAGTAAATATAAACAAATTGTTGCTCCACACAACAATGCACCATGATAATGTTCTTTATATTCATTTTAGCAGTCATAGAAATGCAGTCAGCATTTTAGAGAATACAGAAATTCCACAAACCATATTACTTATCTCTCTCTCTCTCCTTGTCCTGTGGGAAAAAAATTTGTGTAGAAACAATTCCCAATGAAAGATTCTATGTAAAAAATATCAATTGCACAGAAGAAAATGAGGCATAGTTGCCATTGTCCTCGACAGTGTCCCACTCTGCTCTTTGAAAATAGATTTTGTTGAACTTGTACCTGGATTTGTCATATGGCTGCACCAGGATTGAACTTGCATCAGGAGTACTGATTTGAGCTATGCTCTTCAAGCTGACCGGCGTCCCATAATACTCCACCTAGATAGATACAGAGAGAAAGAGAGAGAGAGAGAGAGAGAGAGAGAGATTTGTATTTCAGTTATTCCTAATAAATTTGAGTGCCAAACAATTGAAACCTCTACTGATATACAAGAATGTGGCTATGCATGCTGCTTTTGTAAGTTGTATGAACCCAATTGGTACACCCACTTACCACTGGTGCACACACCAGCTCATGCATGCTGCACCTAGGCACAACGACATGGTGCCATGGTGGCGGCAATTATGCCTGTTAAGGACGGGTGCAACAGTGATTAAAAATTTTGATAGTGATGATACAAAAATATGGTGCCACTGGTGATCAGAAGAGTATGGACCATAATGCTAGATGCTGATGATACCAAGTTAATATACCTAAAAGGGCAGCATTGGCAATGGTGGTCCTACTGTTAGGGCTAATAATGAACATATCATGGTGGTTGTGGTGGCAGGCTAAGCTGGCTCCTATTTTGAGTGCCGGAGTGTCAGCATTATGCACAAGCAAAAACAAAAGAACAACACTTAAGTAAACTGTATGTGGGTTCGTAAGCATACCTCAACTTTATCAAGCATTGAGGGAGTTGATCTCCCTGTCCTTATGGAATTAAAATTCGATCGAACAGTGTCAATAGTCTTTTCCATCTTTTCTTTCTGAAAACAACACCAAGGTAACTAGCTGCTTAGTGTGTTTAAACTTTAAACACCGCAGGGTCCAACCCCACTTCCCCCAAACCCCCAACATAGGTATACATATCCAACAAGAAACTTCAGATGTCTTAGAAAAATAGCACACTAGCTAGCCACTCACCACGTTTTTTTCAATCAAAGACTTCTCAGCTTCTATTTCTTCAATAGTTGCACACCTCAAGACTCCTGTTCTGAAGAACAATCAACAAAAAAGACAAACTCAAACATACAGTTGAAAGCATGTCACATTATAACAGTCAATACAATTGCACAAACCAACAATAAAACATAAATTTAGGACTCAGAAAAAAGATTCCATGAACTAGCCTTTCATGGGATGATTGTTTCACAACAAGGAGCTTCGCCGCAAATTTTGTTGCGCCGACCTGAAGTTTCACATAATTCGAAGCCGACCTCCAACCAAACACATCCCCAGGAGTAGATATGAATCTTGCGCAACTGGGTCCTCCATAGTTAGAGTCTGCAAGATTTTCCCAACTATAAGTACTCTCTTCTATGCACAAAGCGAAGGAACTGAGTCATTAAATCAAAGACCACACAATCTTTAGGAAGAATTTATCATCAAGAAACACCCAAAATACATACAAAATATAAAAAGAGAAGGCAAAGTTCAAAAGACCTTGGAGTGAGAGGAGGGATTTGGGAGGGTTTGGCTTGTGGCTGGGTTGTTGATAGATGGACCTCAACGGGGTTGCAGGCGAGAACGAAATTGCCATTGTGGATAAAAGAGATTGATTGATATGTGTTTGATAAAATGAGAAGCCGAACCGTAGAGGGTAGAGCTTGGGATTGTGGATAAGTGTGAATTTGCAGGGCTATTTTTCTCTCTTTCGCACTTGCGCTCGACAACGGAGAGACAGTGGTTAAAGCTTTTTTTTACCACTTGTAATGAATATTTCCTAAAATACACTTAGAACCCTAAGATTTCAAAAATCTGAGGAAATTACACCGACATCTGCTTTCTAAAATACACTTCATACAATTAATGTTTTGAAAATCATAGAAAAGCCCTCTAGATTTTTGAGGTCAATTTACAATTAAATCCACTCTGTCAGTTTAGTTGATATAGAAACTCAACTCAATACTTTGCTCACCCATGAAACCAAATAATATATTCTCAATCGAATAACAATTATCCTGGTAGTCTTTTCAATTGTGACCTTAGTCAAATTAATTTTTATGGACGATAAAATATATATTTTTGCCAATTGGTATTTATGAATAATTATTAGTATCGACTCTAGTTGGAATGGGTTTTTTTGTCTCTGGCTCAGACTTATAGTGTCTTCGACTCTGCTCCAATTCCAATTGCACAGAGTCGAACTTGAGTTTTGGATTGGGGGCAAAATTGAGCCAATTTTTAACGGGGATATGAGGATTTTAGGGTTAAAAAGAGAGAAAAAATGTTGAGTTTTATATAGTTTTCAACTGAATCTAGGAGAATTCTAAGGTATCTACAAAAATTTCAAAACCCTCAGTAGAATTTTTATGAGTTTTTGTACAAATTATTGTAATTTTTTAATGATTGATCTTAAATAATTTTTGTTGTAATTAGACCACAAAAAGTTTATTTTTTCACTTACACGACTTAAAACTTTGGTACCATACCTCATTTGGTGTCGGATTTGTAAATTTATTGCCTCATACTCGCAAGATAGAATGAAGATGGGAAAACTTCATACTTTTCAATTTTTCATCAATTTTTCCTTGTACCAAACAAACTCAAACATTTCAATTTTTTACCATTTCATTTTTTTTTACCGTACCAAATAAAGCATGAGGGAAGAACGGATCGAAAAAGAGATATGAGATTAATTTAAATTCTAAACAAGTAAAAGTAAGACAAAAACCACGAAATCAACTAAATGCCAATTGGTCCTAAAAAAAAAAAAATTTTTACTTAGATTTTTTAGTCGGTCGGCATTACATGTCATGAAATATCAAAAAGAGTCGGAGTAAAGCATCTACAATATAAATAAGGTATACTTCAACAAGTTTATCTAATTGTCTCAAATAGACTCAATTTAACGACCATCAATATCTTGTAAGAAATTTTAATGATTCGTATATGAAATTTAGAATACCTAAATTACAAGATTTAAATCATATAAGTTTAGAACATGTATGTATGAGTAATGATATTCGATCTCCGAATTTCTTTCGTGAAAGGATAAAGTCTTCATCTCTTTCTTCAAAGCAATAGGTGGCTCTCAATGGGACAAGTCAAACTAAGGTTATGAAATGAAGAGAGAACTTAGTCTGCTTTTTATAATGAATCTAATAGGATCTCCCATTACGGATCACAATTAGATTAAGACATGCACTTAATCGCCTCAAGCACATCAATTAAAAAGATGTAAATAAGCTCATCAAAGCAAATCACTTAATAATATTGGACTCATCTCATTGGACTATAATTCAGCCTATTTTTCACAAACTAAAAATTAATTATCAATTAATGGAAGTCTAATACAGGAAAAATTTCAACATTCTCCCACTTTGACAACATTAATTGTAGTCATTTAAAAATAAAATAAAATTATATATATATTTTTGAAAAACGACTTTCGGACTAATCAAACAAAACTAAATGTGGCCACAATAAAAAATAATATGGTCCTGAAAAAACATCTCAAACACAACCCGGTTTAATAAAACTAATATTTTTGAACTATGTCGGCCTTTACATCTTTTATTGACATAAGACTAATCTATGATTGCAAAAAATAATAATTTTATTGACATAGATCAAAATGTGGTCTTGTAGCAAGAAAATAATATCTTAATATATGATCTGATAAACATGTTATTTTCATTGTCAATCTTCCAAATGATTTCTCTTTAACAGCATGTTTCAACAATAAGCTAAAGAAATCAATTAACTTCAACAATAAGTTAGTATGTCTCCAAACTTAAAATTTCAAGATTTTTTCAAATGGTGTAATTAGAGGCATACTTCATTGACAAAACAGATATATTTAAGACATACACCAAGTCTCAAGATTTTGTATAAAATGATATGTCATAAATGTGCACACATACAACATAGCAAGAATATCGTACTAACAATAAGGATAATCATCCAAGTATTTATTATTCATCAAATAGATGTATCTCAACTATAATGAGTATCAAATATAACATATAATTAAATCAATATTAAAGTTCTTGACACATAAATAAACTCTTACTAACCAAGTACATCAAAAGATCTCAAAATGTTCATGTTGTCAACTTGTTTTTTAAAAGTTACGAGTCTTAGTCCCTTGGTTAAATGATCAGCAAGCATTAATTATGTATCAATATGTTTAATTACAACGTCACATTTCTTCACAAAATTCTTAATAGAAAGATATTTAATTTTCATATGTTTAGACCCACTAGAATATTTGTTGTTCTTTGAGAATAACATAGTTGCACTATTATCACAATAAATTGTTAGTGGTTTAGAGATGAAATCAAAAATCATAAGTCGTGAAATAAAATTCTTTAGTCATATAGTTTGTATTGCAGTTTCATAACAAGTTACAAATTCAACTTGCATAGTGGAAGAAATTGTGAGAATTTATTTAACACTCTTCTATGTTATTGCTCCTCCAACTAACATGTAAATATATCCTTAAGTGAATTTTAAATCATCCTGACACCCACCAAAATTTGAATCTGAGTAACCAATCACCTCAAGACAATCAACTCTACTATAAACAAGCATGTATTTTTTTTTTCTTTTGCAAATATCTCATAACTTTCTTAATTGTCATTCAATGATCTAATCCTAGTTTAGAAAGATATCTGTCAAGAACATTAATTGCAAAAGTAATGTCACGTCTGGTACAAACATGTGCATACATTAAACTGCCAACAACACTCGCATAAAGTATATTCCTCATAGACTTCTCCTCAAGATCATTTTTGGAACATTGACTTAGATTGAATTTATCACCTATCACAACAGGTAAATCCCAAAACTTATAATTATGTATATTAAATCTTTCAAGCACACGATTTATATATGTCATTTAAGAAAGTCCTAACAACCCACGATTCCTATCCCGATGAATCAGAATGTTTAACACAAAAGATGTTTCCTCAACATCTTTCATGTCAAATATTTTGCACAACAATTGTTTAATCTTATTAAGTAAGCCTAAATCATTACTTGCTAGCAAAATATCATCAATAAGAAAAATAAATTTGTTCTCACTGACCTTAAGATATCTGCATTGATTCATCTTGTTCTCAACAAAATCAAGAAAACTAACTATCTCATTAAATTTCAAGTACCAATGACGAGAAGTCCATTTGAGACCATAGATATACTTCTCCAACTTGCACACTAATTGTTCTTTCTTATTCTCCTTAAGACCCTCAAGCTGTATCATATTCTTCCCTAAGCTCACAATTCAAAAAATTTGTCTTCACATCAGTTTGGTGAAATTCTAGATTAAAATGAGTCACTAATGTCATAATGATTCGAAAAGAATCTTTAGTAGAAACAGGTGAAAAAATTTCATTAAAATCTATATCTTTCAATCTTATATTTGGACTCCACCTTAGTTTTAAACACTCATTTACAGTCAATGAGTTTACATCCCTCAAGAAGTTCTATAAGCTCTCACACTTCATTGTATGTCATAGAATGTATCTCATATTTCATAACACCTACCTACATATCAGACTGAGGACAAGTAATAGCATCATAGTATGTTATAGGATCAATAATATCACTAATATCATAATCACTTTCTCCAAGGCATACATAATATTCATTAGAAATAATAGGAATCTTTGGCCTTGTAGACATTCTCAAGAAAATTTTAGTAGTAAGCTCTAAAGGCTGAGGAGCCTCAATAGGAACAGAAGGGTCAATTGCAAGAATAGGAGGATCAACAACTGGAGCAGAAAAATTAACAACAGAAGCATGTATAATATTCTCTTGCACAACAGGTAAATGAATAGAAACAAATTTATTTTGCTCATACTCACTAATAGGCTGTGAGCAACCAACATCAGCAACATCAAGCTCCAAAAATTTTGTTATTAAAGACTTCACAATTTTAGTACCATGTGTAGGACAATAAAACCGGTATCCTTTCAAATGTTTTGTGTAACCTATGAAAAAATAACGAATAGTTCTAGTATCAGTCTTTTTCTCAAAAAAGTTATAGATTTTGACTTAAGTAGGACAACCTCAGACTCGAAAATGGTTAAGACTTGGTTTCTTATTGGTCCATATTTCAAAATATATTTTTGGAACAGATTTGCTAGAAACTGTATTAAGAATGTATAAAACTGTTTTAATGGTTTATTCCCAAAGAAAATCAGGTAAGTTATACCTACTCATCATACTCCTCATCATATTAGACACATCATTCTACTCAGTATTACAAGACATGATATATTAGACAATAATCTCACAATTTTGTAAATACTTGGCAAACGGTCTCAAATGCTGCTCAGACACATCATGTTTGTCATAATACTCACCACCATGATTAGATTAACAATTTTGATGATTTTTCCTAATTGTTTCTCTATCTCAATTTAGAAAATTTTAAACTTTTCAAGAACATCAGATTTTTCATTAATTAAATAAATATATCCATAACGAGAGAAATCTTCGATAAATGTAATAAAATATTTATTACCACACAAGGTACGTGAGTAAGGTCCACTAATGTCAATGTGAATGATTTCTAAAAGATCTAGACTGAGT